TGCTTATGGGAAACCCTTTTGAGAGAAATGTGAGCCGATATTGAACAGAAAACAGACTTCGAGAAATATTCTGCACACTTCCGTTTCCCATTTTCGATATTTCTACAGAGCATGATAATGGTTTCAACCTTTTCCTGCCAAACCATCCTCCAAAACTCGGGTATCGTTCTGGGTAAAGGGCCCTAAACAGCGAAAATCAGATCGAATTGATCTTCATCACTACAAAGGCATCGTAATCTCAGCCCTTTGAAATGTCATCGCAAATTTCTGATGAGGAATACAGCAAATGTTGCTTTCTACTACTAGTCGATTTGTTAGGGGCGTGTAACCATGTTCCGTACAAGCGATAGGGCGTATGACGGGGTGTATGCTAGATCGCTGCGAGAACCGCCCCTTTCGCCAATCGTTGCGGACCCAGGATGTCATGATTGATGGAAAAGCTGCTTTCACAGCGCTCCAATTCGCGTTTACGTGGCACGTCCTACCACAAGGATTACGACTGTATGTCACGGCAATGTATCCGGTACTACTGCGCTACGCCGAAGTCGGCTTTCTGGAAGCGAAACTTCCTCCTTACCAATAAATGGTTTACCTGCGTAAGAATAAACTCGTTTCGTAACAGTGGATACGTCACACGATTTGCATGAATATAACCTCCACCATCCTTCGAAAAGTAGGAATTCTAGCAAGATACGCGAAGAATCCAAACAGGGAACATCTGCAACAAACAGGTCTTAAAGGACCATGCTGCATTTCCTCGGTTCGGATAATTTCTCAAAATTACTGGTATATCTGTTCTTGAAGGTATTGGAGGGATCTGCCGAAACGACGTATTCCTTCGGATCAGGTTGTGGTAGCGAGTCGAACTGTTGTCGTAACATTTCAGGCGTCAGAGTTTCGCACTGAAACATCATTGCAACACACTTCTATTTCCACCTTAAGCACACTCCATATACCCGCTATGGAGAGGGCGTGGCAGCGTACTTGGTTTCAGTGTGATGCTGCTGCACCCCTGATGGCGTATATAGTCTTGGGACAGTCGCAATCACGTTTTTGTCCAGCGAAAGGCCAGTATGGTAGTTGTTTCAGATGGAACTATCTTCGAATTGACGCATTTCACAGATGTTGGAATCAGTTACGCAGCCACACCCTCTCCATTTTCGGGATAAGGAGTGTAATATAAAGCAGCCTTCATGGTTTGGCGATCACGTGATAGCCCATTCAGCGAATTGCAAGATCGATAAGTATCTATTCCTAGCCATGGATTTCTTGAATCTTCAAGGGAATCTTCGCGAATTGTTAACAAAGTCTAGTAGGTCAGTGGCGGGAGATTACCGGTAAAGCGGGAACAAGAAGAGTGTGGATGAAAAAATGAATGGCGTTCAGTCCACATCCTAGAAATGGGAGGGGCGTGGCTGTGTGTTCCGTTTCAACATGGCTTTGGCTTCCCGTGAGATTCTTCCATTTGAGCCAACTGTCACCCTATCTTGTGCTGGACAAAGACGTGATCACAACTATCCCATCGCTGCAGTATCTCATCGCGGCCGCTCTTCTAGATGAAGTACGCAACACGCCTCACCTATCTCCGGTATATGAGATGTAAGTGGTAGAGGAATGGGGTAGAAACGATAAGGGAATCGGAACGCGGCTTCAATATATACGCTACATTTTCAGCGCTTCAGAAATTTATACAACGAAACAAAAGGACATAGCGAGGAGGATAAAATGAAACTGCTCCCAGAAGAAGTCTTAAAACTAGAAAGAACTGCTACATCGGAAGGTCTACAAGAAGATCATATTGCTTTGAAACGATTCAAGGCCTCCACAAAGCTGTAGAGGAGAAGCGTGCCCTTGTAAGAAGGGTGGAGTGGTTGACTGTCCCCGCCCCTGCGTGCAGTGTAGACTGTCCCTTCAACTTCGAGTGTGCCTGAAGTTCTGCGCAGTACCCAACGTTTGGGACTGATGGCAATCCAGACTTATGCAGACTTTGAGCTGTTATTGAAAAAGTTCACTTGCCATGCTTGCAAAAGCTTTTAAACAAGTAGCAATGTTCTTTTCGTAATTCTGTACACTGTAAGCTGTTGTTACAGTTGCGTCAACTTCTTCGGCTGTAGTAACTGGCTAAAAAGTCATCAACTGTAACCCGCGTTTTCAAATAGCACAAAATGAAACCATACAGTTGCTTCATCATATTGGTACATCCAACTGGTGTCCTCTTCCTGTTTTCTTCACTGGCGCTTTAGCTTTATTTTTATTCTTTTCAACTGAATTACAAAAATGAGACCTAAAGGCAGCGGCCCGATGAGTGTGGGCTGTCGGTACTGCCAACGCCATTGGTGGAAGGGCTGAATGGAGTGTAGCCGGACGCCCTCTTGCAACCCTTCCATCAATGACGCTGGCAGAAACGCAATCGCGCCCTTTCATTGGATCGCAGGTATAGCACAGGTCCGCTATCTGTCAGAGCTTGACGGTAACGCGTACGTGACGTCAACGACACGTCATCTGTCCCAAACAGGTGGCGTTCGGATCATCTACCTTGGGCTACACCAGTGCCAAATAATTTCATCGAACAATGCCCCCTTGCAGTCACGATATTCGATGGATACTTACTAATTTTTTGCTTGCTTAATTGAAGATTTTCCTGGGAACTGGACGAGTCGGATTCACGCTTCTCGTAAAGGCAACGCCGAACAGGTGGTATTGTCGAGTGCTGAAGAAGTTCTCGAGTTGATCCAGATAGAGCATATTTCGCTGGGATCTGCTACGAATTCACTCTCTGATCGGGAGGTTAAAAGCAAACCATAACTGGCTGAGTGATTTGCCTTCGGGTTAGCTCAGTTCCCCTGCAGCTGTGAGTGTGTGCCAATTTCGACGCTCAGGGGCCAGTTTTGCCCAGATGGCTCCGCCCATAGTGGCCACGCCCCTCACCCGACTCTAAGGAAATGTTCATGGTTAATTACAAAATGGAGACAGGAATGAATCCCTTCAGTGGGAATCAGCCTCGTAGAAAAATACTGGAGATCTTATCAACTACGACCACTGGCTCAGCCAAAAAAACTGGGCTCAATTACGGACATTTTAGGGCCATACTAGGGCCATAGGGACTTCTATAAATGAGCAATACGCCCAATTCCAAAGAATAGTGAAGATAATAAGGAGTTCCCTAGCATGATCCTTTTGCCCTCAGTTTTACGTATCTGCGCTAAAAAACCCTCACGTAAGGAGCAGAGAATTGACTCACTTGACGTGTACGTCGTTGTCGCGCTGTAGCTGTTTTTTGCGGAAGTGGCTTTCCGAACGGTAAGACAACGTGCTGCGACGTCTTTGGCTG